TTCTTTCCCATCTTCTATACCACTAATCATATACCTGTGCAATGCGGTGAAAAATGAAATTTTATTGGAAACTACATGTCTTTGGCTTAACAACATCGAGGTTATCAGTATATCACAAATGCATTATAAAGCTAAGGAACTTCAAACCCAATAAGAACATTAATAACACTACAAAAATGCAGAGTATTCGCAAATCTGTCGCTAAAAGGGTCATCCATTGCTGATCCGTCACTGATACTCTGTCGGTCAAATCCTCGTAGGTAATGCTATCAACGACGGATTTGCGAGAGATACTTTCAGCGACAGATTAGCAAGGGAATAGTTTCAACGACAGATCAGCGAGGAAATAGCTCCAGCTAATACGATCCATCAAATTTAAAAGTAGAAGGCTTTAATTCAAAATGTGGTTAAGGATTTAAACAACATAACTATAAAAAAAACCAAGGTTTTCTTGTATCATAGTTGGCTCTTTTCTTACAGCAAAAAATCCAAGTCTATTTCCTTTAATTCTGAAAACATCCAAGCAAAAGATCCAACGAAGTATACTTGCCTTATGAATTGTCCTTCCATGTGCATGTGCTTCGTCACCTTGCTCTCTTAAGTGGAAGCCAGATTGGCCATCATTGGGTCTTTGTTTCAATAAGGCCTCAATGAGGACATCTGTAGTTATTATCAAACATTTTCAGCATTGGTCGGTTGTAACGAAGGGTTCATTCGAAACTCTTTTATCAAAAGGAGGGGCTTCGAAACCTGTGATAAATGAAGAGTAGATAATAAAGATCACGTACATCCTTATCAGTTAAAAACTCCCGAAGTCGGTTGGGAAAAGGAAATGTATGAGAAAGGCAACGGGCTAAACCATCTTGGAAGAATGAATGAAGTGGTTATCTTTGCATCAAATCTGTACATCCTTATCAGTTATATTTAAGATGATTTAGTTTTTAAAATATGGGGGAAATTTTTTAGTTAAAGAAAATAAAAAATAAATTGGTGAAGAAGTGACCGGAAATCAGATTTGTTTTTAATTTTCAGTTTATCATCTGTTTATTTAAGTAATAACTATTCCTTCTTGTAATCTTCATATTGTTTACAAATTTGCCCTAATGCTTATACATCGAGATTGGTTCTTGAATCCTCAATATATTTGTGGTATCTATCTGAACCCACCTTTATATAAGAAGGCCCGTTCATGATATTTTTAGGTCCTGGGCGAACATAAAAATAGGGGTCCCACTGCAAGAAACAAGACTTTTAGCAACGACTTTTGTTGTCGCTAAAAGTCCGTTTATCATTAGAAATAGTATATAACAAAAACATGTCGTCGCTATAACTTGTGACACATGTCATCGCTAAAAGGCTCATCGTCAAATCTCACTTTTCTTGTAGTGACCTTCGGTAAATACAAAAAAAAAATTCAATAGATGTTTTCATTAGTATAAAATTGAGTACAAGAAATGCTAATAATTTACTAATAATTTACTGAGTAAAGAAATCTTATTTATCTTTATTATAGATATATAAAAGTGTACTTAAATTTACGTACTTCTTATTAGGTAATTTTAAACCAAGAGTATATAAACTATGGTTGATAAATTTTTATAAAAAGTAAGAATTTTTTACTTTATAATAAGAAATATGTGTTATTTTGATACAAAAAGAGAATTCGTGTTAATGAAATAATCGTGAGGTCAATGAGAGATTAATAACAAAGAAGATTATCAAGGTAATATCAACAAGTAGACAAATGAAAATCAATAAGAATATGAAAGAAAAGATGATCCATTGAGATCTAGTAAAAATAAATAATGAATTAAACATATAATATCACTACTAGAAAACCAGGTATCAGTGACGAATATCAGCAAGGGAAAATTTCCCTCGCAGATCAACGAGGGATCAGCGAGGAAATGCCAAAAAACACATTCCCTCGCTGATTCTTCGCTGATCTGCGAGGGAAATATTCCCTCGCTGATCCCTCACAGATCAGCGAGGGATCTGCGAGGGAAATGCCAAAAAAACTCATTCCCTCGCTGATCCCTCGCTAATCTGCGAGGGAAAAATTCCCTCGCTGATCCCTCGCAGATCAGCGAGAGAATTGCCAAAAAACTCATTCCCTCGCTGATCCTTCGCTGATTTGCGAGGGAAATTTCTTCTGCAAATTCCCTTGCTGATCCCTCGCAGATCAGCGAGAGATCAGCGAGGGAATTGCCAAAAAACTCATTCCCTCACTGATCCCTCGCTGATTTGTGAGGGAAATTTTTTCTGCAAATTCTCTCACTGATCCCTCGCAGATCAGCGAGGGATCAGCGAGGGAAATGACAAAATTCAATTTCCCTCGCTGATCTGCGAGGGATCAGCTAGGGGATTTGCAGAATTCACATTCCCTCGCAGATCCCTCGCTGATCTGCGAAGGATCAGCGAGGGAAAATGATTTTTTTTCCTATTTTCTCATTTTTATGTGTTATATGTACATATTTTTATGTGTTGATATCGTATGTATGCATGTCATGTGTTGTTTGTGTGTGTGTGTGTATATATATATATATGTTGTGCTTGCTAACCGCGATATGTTCATGTGTTATAAGTATATATACCCGTCGTGAGGGAAAATGACTTTTTCCATTTTTTCAATTTTATAACTACTAATTTAATTGCTTATAAATTATTTATTAATAATTATTTATTAGAT